AACTCCTTGTTCTCCATTATAACACCCCATTTCTGACTGTAAGGGACGACATTTGTCTTCACTAACCTCTTTTCTCTTCACTTACCTATAGAAGCTTTATTAATCAGTTTGTATGTTCCCTGCAACTTAATCTCGTACTGTATTATCCCTTCATTAGCCAATCCTTTTGGTCCTCCTTTCAAAAGCTAAACTGATCCGAATCCTCAGGTCTGCTGCTTTTTTCTGACCAATTTGTATGCTCCTTCCTTGAATCTAATACTATCCTTAATTCCCCTTGTAGTCATGGTTAGGCCACCTTTCCTGTTTTACTTTTGTGCCAGACAGGAACAAACAATTTACTGCATTTTTCCATGCACTTTTTAAATGCTTGCCATTGCCTATTCACCATCATCCTTAAGTAATGTTCCCCAATTTATCACAGGCAGCTCACACCTCATACCATCATAGTTTCCTCTATTTAGATTCAAGACCACAGTCTGAGAATCAACCACTCCACATTTTAATGAAATATTCTATCATATCGCTGTCACTCTTCCCCAAGGGGCTTCATACAGGTAGATCACCAATTATTCCTTTCTTATCGCATAATACTCCATATTAGGATGGGCAGTGCTCTAGGTGGTTCCACAACATTTTGATTAAGAGGGAAATAAAAACCCATCTCGTACACACTACAGGAATTCCTCCTCTACAGCATTGTTATGGATCCGAGTTTATCTACATGCAGATTAAAGTAATCCATAATTACAGCTGTACTCTTATTGCTTTCATTTCTAGTTTCCTATTTAATGCCTTTAATACCTAATACAATTGCAGTATTATTCCTTTCCAGGTGTTTGCCATGACCTTCGCTTTGCCCTTTCTTTTCAACACTCCCAATGCATCAGTGTCATAAAATATTTGAATCCTGAGTTTGAATAGAAGTCATACACAAAATAACAGAGGGGACAAATCAAAATGAGAAAATCATGGAACATTGTGGGATTTGATGGCCAGTAGCAAGCAAAAATTTGTACATGCAACTTAGGGGTTAAAGATCAGACCAGTAAAATCCATATATAATACAAAACAATAACGACACATCTGGGAGTGTTATACTTCATAATTTTGATAATATCAAGCCATTTCCACCTTGCATTGAGCTGATGTTGAGATATAAATTCAGAGTTGAGTCCTAACTTGACAACAGGTAGAAAAATTTGAAAGTTCTTCTTGAGATGATTTAATGTGGCTTGAATTTGATAGTGCTTGCAGTTAATCCTTGAAGTTATTTTATTAATTGGCTTGGTTTTAAAAAAAAAGTTCCATTTAGGGCATTCCCATCAAATTTGTCAGCTATCCCAAGGTGTTTTATAGTCAACAGTTTATGTTTCAAAAGCGTGGTCACTTAAGTACGCAAACACAGTACTCAATTTACACGTGGCAAAATTCATCAACAGCAAAAGAAATCACTGATCAGCTAACGTGTGTCTTAATTCTATATCAGCAAAGTATTGTGGATGTTGGAAACCTGAAATGAAAATGGAAATGGAAATGTTGAAAATGCTCAGCTGTCTGTCAGCATCTGTGGAGAGAGTTAACACTGCAAGTTGATGACAAAGAATCACTGACCTGTAACATTATTTTTCTCTCTCCACAGATTCTGACAAACCTGGTTATATTTCCAGCATTTTCTGTATTTTGGAGGTAAACTATAACCCCTCAAGCCCAGATTTCTGAAATCAGAAAATACCAATTGTCTAAAATTATTTTCAGCAGTCCCAAAACTCTCAGGTTCATCGCTACCAGTACTACAACAGCCCTGGGCCCAATGGATCAATGGCTTCAAACAGAATCAGATATCCGGTGAGCCCAAAGTAA